TTAGATGAGCTATACTAGCAGAGTCATGTAGCATTCCTAACAACCTGGTTGGCTGCTAGAACTTGAAATGTTACTGTGCACAATTCAATGCAATACAACAATATAATAATTCTAAATCTTACACCTCGGGATGCTTAAACGGTTTGTCCGTTTTTCAGATCTCGTGGAATTGCTTAGTCACCCACACTTTGATCTTAGATCTTATAAATGCGCACATAATTGACGCTTGCCAAAGAAAACCTATAAATAGTTATGATAATACGAATCGTATCCCGATTTTGAAGAATTATGATTTTTTTTCGTAGATCGGTTCGCATAAATCGTGAATGGCGTGAGAGGCAAGAAAACTCAGCCGTTATGAAAGGAAGCGGTATAACAGGACAAATCACTTAAGAGACATACTATTGATAACATCCGACTCAACCACTTCAATGTGGGCTGGAATTGTGTTTCTATTTTATTCCGGTTGCAATCGTAACTAAAGGTGCGTAAAGTAACTTTTGTTCGAACGATGGAAAGTAAAGCCATCGACGACCTCGGCAATCAAGACGATTAAAGTGATCCGTTTTGCTATTAAAAATACGTTCCCAAAATTGTTTTAACTTACTGTTTATCTTACTTCACTTATATCCAAGTTTCTGGTAGTAAAATATGTTAGTTGGATCGATATGAATTCTTGTTGCTCTCTAGAATCTAAGTGCTCCTTTACCCGATTTCAATGTAAGCTCCTGCGTCCGTTTTCCACCTTCCTTCATCAAAATACTACGAGCCGCACTGGTCAACAACTCCTTTGTAACTAATGGAGGAGGTTATTCTTTCTACTATTTGACTAGAAAAGTTTGCTTAACACAAAAACTTTGCAGAAACAGCAATCCCGGGGGCTTTTAGCAATTTGTTTGCTGTTAATCTAGTTTATTCTCTCAATTCTGGTGGGAGTTTTCCTTTGCACAAGTTATCGTTGCTTGTCAAAACGCTGTGCGGGAGCTCACGTCTTTCAGCATAATTATTAGTTCATATGTCTGTCAATTTGAAATACCGATCCAGGGAAGGAAGGGGTTTTTATTTTTGACGTAGGTAAAGTGAGTGATCCAGTTATACGTGCTATTCAGAAATCTCACCAAACGACACAATACATTACATCTTTATGTAAATAATGCGAGTAATTGGGCTGTTACCTGACATATGGCTCATATGTACGTAACTCACTTCACTGGACTAAAACACTTTAAATACATTGACGTTAATGAAAGCTTGATTATACTCGACGTAAGCTTCTCTGTTGATACACTCTGTTAATGTTACTTATCTATCTATATGAGATTTTGCTCCATCAATAACTTATAAAATCAATTTTGAAGTACAACTATTGCAACATTTTCCCATTCAGAGTGGATCGCAAACATTTTTTGAGTCCTTGATAATCTCATTATATTGAAATATTGGCTTATTACAAATATATTGGAAGAAAGCATGTTCATTGCAACATCATAAGTGTCCCAAAATTCGGACAAAGCTTAGAACGAAAACCCTACAATCGAAATTTTCGTTATAAAACCTCATCTCAGTTATGGATCATGACTTCAAGGAAAAAACATCCGTATTGTCAAACAGTGTATATCCAGTATAGTAAAATAACAAATTGAAATATTTATGCAAAATGATTTTTTCTCATTGGTGAAAAACTCGCTTTATTTCATTCAATACTTCTTTCGAAATTTCTCATAATAACTTTGAGCTTTATATTATAATCACTATATAAGCATATCGATCCAAGCATGATAAAAATGAGATACGAGTATAACTAGAAATGACAAGATGTTCGATATTTGTTGATTTCAGACGTGCTTTTGACATAGTAAATTACGGTATTTTATCAGACAAGCTTTTCAGGGATTCGGGGCTAACCTCTTTATTGGCTTGAGTCATACTTAGATCAATTTTCTTGGTATTCACTTAGATGAGAATTTATCAAGTAAGGAGCATATTGACGTAATCTAAGCAATTACGTTGATGTGACATTGTCAAAAACATACTATTGTGAGCATGTACAATCTGCTCTTAACCATGGAATCATCTGTTGGGGCAACGATTGTAGAGTAAAGGATTTGTTCTTCGAAAGAAAATTATTAGATCCATTTTATTTGAAAACAGACTTGCATCCTGTGTTGGCCTAATCAAAACATTAATAATAACTACTGCACAGGTATGTTCGCTGTATGACTATAAGTGTGCCGTCTATGCTAAAGAAAAATTTAAGTTATAGCCTCCAACGAGGATCTGCTGTTAGCCAGCATTTAAGGAAACCATTACAACTAACCAGTGTAGCCCAGAGGTTGTTGTTGATTTCACAGTCCCATAATCATATTACCCAGACTATACAGGGTGTTTGAAACATAGACGGAGATATTTTCGCGGGTGATTCCTCGTTAAAAAATAAGAAAAAAAGTTTCTATAAACATGGGTCCGGAGATGCAGGGTTTTTAAGATACAGGGTGATAAATTAAAAAAAATTATATACAAAAATATTTACTCATTCTGTTAAATTTTGGCAATAATATTTGGTGTATTAAGAGGCCAATTTTTTTATTTTTGTTTTCCAGGGCACTTGTGATTTTGTTAGAAAAAATTAATAAACCAATTTTGTCCAGTGACATGTAATGAAACGGTTTTTTTCTCGAAAACGAAGTAATATAGGAAAAAAATTCAGGAAGCAAAGAAGTTGTATTTTTAGATGCTAAATCTAAGAACAAATATTATGTATGTGACTGTGTGACGAAATTGACATCGGGCGGGACTCGTTTGCTACATACCGTTAGCAACAAATATTAAAGCTACAAAAAAGGCAGTGGCGTACATTTTTTTGACAATAATATTCGCTAAGATGCCCCCCGGGACGCCAATGGACCTCATAATTTCAATCTATTGAGGGCCAAAATAGCCTCTTGATACAACAAGTGATACTGCCAAATTTCAACAGAATCGAATAAATATTTTTTAAGACGTTAATAGATTTTTTTTAATTTATCACCCTGTATCTTGAAAATTGCATTTCCGGACCCATGTTTATAAAAATATTTTTCATATTTTTCAACAAGGAATCATCCTCTAAAATATCTCCGTCTATTTTTAGAACACGTTGTACAACAAATTACCAATCAATAACAAACCCTTTTTAAAAGAAAGGTCTGAGAATTTCTTATATATAATCCTCTATATTTGTTTAATGATTACTTAAGTATATGATACATTAGATTCTTCTTTCAGCGATGTATTTTTGAAGGTGATTCTACCATTTTTTCTAGCCTATCTTGCTCATTAAGGCGAATATTGTAACCATTACCTTACAGGTAGTACGCGTTATACACAATGAGCTTTAGGGAAATTGATTTGGAAATCAACTATATGTATATTCTGTAGGTAGGATAAGTGATTGTTGTCTACAGTAGTTTAAAGCAGCTAGAGGTGTTTACATGGCTTCTGGCGTTAATGGTCGCCTACTCATGATCATGTGCGTTAATTTCTATAAACTGTTGCTTCGTGACCGCTTATGAGATTATATCTTCGTAAGTGAAAGGTTTCATGTTCAAGCTTATTCGACTACATAATATGTCTCTCGGGATCCAGATCATCTAATTGTATTAAGATGTAGTATAGTATCCACCTTAGTACAACGAAAGTGAAAGAAATATGTCCACCACGGTATCAGCAGTGGCAGGAAATTCGAATTACCCTCTCAAACTTCAAGCCAGTCCCCAGTTGTTGAAGAATGTTATCCATTATAGAAAATATAAAGTCTTCTCAGATGTACGCTATAGGTTCGAGGATAAAACATCCCCATGGTCATATCGTATATATCTAAACATAAAATAGCTATGTCCAGTAAATCTTCTTAAAACATGTTGTATTGTTGAAACATCTCGGCAAGGAAAGCAATAAATTCACTAAATACAATATCGTAAAATATCTGGTGGGGACTTTTAGAGCAAATGGATTTTCCGGAAGCCGTCGTCATTATTTTTGGATTGCATCGCTGCTGCTGTCGGCAGCACGAATGCGACGTATTGTTTTTCTTTTTCCACTCTGCGGTTAAATCGGTAGCACCAGCGTGAAATCAAAGGTGGCTCAATCGCCCAGTACAGTGCAATGGGAATCAATAATATAAATTAGGTATAGAAGGCAATTGGTGGCAGTGGCGAAACCTGTCTCTTTGTTAACAAGGGGTGACGTAGACGCATTTTTACTCAAGTAGAAGCGAAGGTTAACTCTCAATGCCAATGTTTCGCGACTTTTATACTAGTAAAATAAGTACTGCTTAAGATGCAGAGTCAGAAAAGCTCTCTATTAAATCATCTTGTTTTTTTAATGCCGCAAATACACCGAACACTAAAAGAAACTCTATCAGAAATTGCTTTAACCCTCCATATAGTATGGGTAACACATCTACTGGCTGTAAGGAAAAACTCTGTTTTTTTGACAGCATACGGTAGCTGAAAAAAAGAAATATAAATATTTAGCACTCGTATACCTACTGCCTTTCCTCAATGTTAGTTACCTCCTTTCCGTGGCCCTTTCTTGTGCACCTATTAAAAATGACATTGTGAAAATAGTTTGTGTTCCCCGTATTTTCCTTTCGTACATCTTCAAATTCTCTTCTACTTTGCAGGCTAGGTTAATGAATTGCTCATTTATATGAATAGCGACTGGCTGCATGGACATCATTATGCCCTAATGCCAAAAAATCTCTATTAGTGAATCGTTGCACATTCTCGACATTGTGGAGTTAGACTCTGAAAGAGCTCAGAGTAACAAATGTGGATGGTATGTTGGTTAAATATTTCGAAGAAATTGAAAATGAAAGTGGTCGCCAGACTAGGTACCATCTAGGCCTTGTAAGGACATTGGATTTTTTTTTATACTCCAACTCCCACGAAGGCCTCAGGCCTAAGCACCCATTGGGTACCGTGGGGCTATAGGGGGATACATGGGAAAGGGGGGGACGCCACACGGACTCTGGCGAGGGAACACGTGTGCATGCAACATGCACACATTCTGGCTCCGCCTACGAGAACCGCCGGGTGGTACCTCCGCGTTCGATAGTCAGAGACCATCTACCACCTACGGATAATCACAACATACATAGCCAAGAGAAAAATTTCTCCTGGGACGGGACTTGAACCCGCACAGCGCACGGCGACTGATCAGGAGACCGAAGAGTCTACCACTGCGGCCACCGCTGCTGCCTAGGATGGTGAGAAAAGAGAAGTATTTTCTAACTCTAGACGTGCCAGATACCATTAGCAAAATTCTAATATCTTTTGTTTGGTCAGAATTATTTCCTATAAATAAGTTCTAATAACATATTTAACGTAAAAAGTAGTTAGATGCAGAAAGCCTCGAATTGTCATGATTCTTCAGGTCTTTCCAAAATAAGAAGTGAACGCGCGTGCTATAAAGAGCTCAATGGTCCCTTGTTAATCCGAGTTTTAAACCGTATAAGGTTTTTTTATACTCCAACTACCACGAATACCTAAGGCCTAAACACCCATGGGGTACCATAGTGCTATAGGGGAAAACAGGGGAAAAGGGAAGGACGCCACACGGATTCAGGCGAGGGAACAAGTGTGCATGCAACATGCACACATTCTGGTCCCGCCTACGAGATCCGCCGGATGGTACCTCCGACAGTCAGAGACCGTCTACCACCTACGTATAAATCACAACATTCATAACCAAAAGAAAAATTTCTCTTGGGACGGGATCAGGAGATAAAAGACTTTACCACTGAGGCCACCGCTGCTGCCTAGCAGAACAGAGCCTCCTTGGGCAGTCTGTTCCACAGTCACAACATATTAGGCACAAAAGAGAGATTGTACCGACCAGTTTTGGATGGAGAAAGTTCGACAAAAGCGACGGGAGGCAGAAGTTAGGCGGGTCCGTCTGACAGCCTTAACACGCGGCTTCATGGAGGAGAGCTTAAGAATAAAGCTCGCTGATAGCGATGGAAGATTGTCGCCGACCTACCACCACATAAATGCGCGCATGAGCAGTGCTGTCGTCAGCAAGCCTGTAGATCGAATTGATCGTACAGGAGGTGAGTTCCTTGATATGTAATAGAAATGATGTGCTAAGACCGATCCTTGGGGAGCACCCGCGTTATAATTGTGGAAATCAATTACGACAGACATCTTGCGACTGGAGAGGAGTCAGCTCTATCTGCAGAGTTTCTCGGGGAGGCCATAAGATCCAGGTTTGCATAAGTGCAGTTGATCCTATGCTTTCATGATATCAAAAACAGTGGCATGAGCCTCACCTTAACATTGAATACGTGTACTCTGTTCAACACTGCTGCAACTTGAACCGACTACTATCCTTTATATCGGGTTGTCCAATAGGGACGCAGGAAAGTAAACGTCAATTTGACATAGACGCCATCTTTGTTTTCTGTCACCAACATGTCATTTTGTTAGTTGAATGTTTACCATTGATCGCTATGGAGTCGTATTCGATTGAAGACCGCATTAAAATTATTCAAGAGCACTACAAAAATGGTGCAAAAATAAAAAACACGTTTCGCGCGCTTCGTGAACTTTTCGGTCGCAACAACCGCCCAAACGAAACAACCATCGGTCGTCTGGTGCGTAAATTCGAAGCAACAGCTTCTGTGGCAAATCTGCCAGGCCAAGGAGCGTTCGCACACCGGAAAATATTGCTGTTGTGAAGGAGAGTGTGAGAGACGATTCGAAACAATCAACAACGCGTCGATCCCAAGAATTGGGCATTTCGAGAACCAGTTTGCTCCACATTCTCCACAAGGATTTGAATGTACATGCCTACAAGATCCAATTGACGCAAGACAAGACAAGACAAAACAACATCATTGCCGAGATAAATGCCATAGAACCGACCATGTTGCAAAATGTCATTGAAAATTTCGACCATCGCGTGGTCGCGTCTGTAAATCCAGTCGTGGTGAACATTTGAGCGATATTATTTTTCAAACATAAATGGTATAAATGAACCTTCAAAATAAAGTACCCAACTTGATTTGAATATCAATCTTTCTTGTTTTAATATGTGTTTACTTTCCTGCGTCCGTTTTGGACAACCCCATATATAACATATTTTGTTTTAAAGCAAAAAATGTATTGCTGTAATTAATGCACTTGGCTGACTTCCGTGCTGACTTTTTAACATGTCAACACCTCCCGCTGCAAAACGCTTCATGAGACATTGCTTGACATGCTGGCTAAAAATATTATCATAAATCAGGTCAGATCCTGAATGCCTTATCCAGTCACAAATCATGAAATATAAAATTACATACCTCCAGCTCTGCATAGATTGTTTTAGTATAAACACTCTCTCATCAGAAGCTCGCATATTAAATAATCTAAAGGTATAACAAAACCGAAATATGGAAAATTCATCATGCTGTTATTAAATATCCTTCATAGATTCGTTTTTCATGCTGGGCTATTCTAAAGAAACTAAATACATCATGATTCTTTTATTTGCCTTTCCTTTGTATCGTCTTCTATTGTCCATTGTTGGAACTGAACCTTCTGTAAGAAGGCGCTATAACAAAACCGCACCAGACTGTGACAAATCATTCATTATAATTGTCCTTACATATTTTGTTGTAGATTCATTTTCAACGTCAGGATCAGTCGTCAGGATAACATATCTTGAACCTTTATTTTATTTGCCATTCCCTTCTGTATCGTTGTGCATCGTACGATTGATTGTCTGCTCATCCTATCCTTTGGCAACACTGTAGTTTGATCCTTTACTCTCTGTTCTCTTTATCCCTTCCATAATATTAACAAACTTTGCCCAACTGTACCACGCTCTCCTGTCGATTAGTGACAACTTAGCGTAAACAACTTACTTATTGTTACGTATTTGTCTAGTATTGGACCTGAAGCAGTTGAAGGCAGAAATCACAACCTCACGGCGTTGATGTGATGAAGATGGAGGACAATATGGTGTATGCATACAATACAATATGTATATGTATGTGACTTCGTCAGTATTCTCCTTCTCCAGGATGCTGGGCCCTCTTTGAAATATTGATTGATATGCCGGATTCAAATATCTCATTAAGCAGGTTAGATCCTGAATGCCCTATTCAGTTATAAATCGTGAAATATATGCTCACATATACCTTCAGCTGCGCATCCATTGTTAAACATCTCTTCTGGCAAACGCATCCATATTAATTTTTCCAAAGCATAACAAAACTGGGCCAGAGCAGAGCAAATGATTCATTATTTTTGCAGCGGAACGAACGTGCTCTCTTTATAATGACTCCGTGAATATATTTATTATGGATATGAACTATCACGGATGGTATGCTTTTCCATTATTCATTCTATGGTTTGAAAATTCACCAACCAGTACAGGACGGGGCGAAGAGAGCATGGATGTATTTTATGAAACTATCGTAGCATCCTATCTGGCTGTATATTTCTTGCTTTTGGCGTTTAATTTTACTTTATTGTTCCCCAGATAAGGCTTTATTCTAACCTAGGTACTATAAGGAAAACCTTATTATCGTTTGCGATATTACTCAGTGATTCCATAAGCAGTGAAGCAGGAGTTGTGGGAAGATTGATGTGTGGACAGGTTCCTATGATTTTTGTGATTAGTTAGTAGAGACGCTTCAATACTTCAGCTTTTCATACCCGCAATTCACGACAAATTATAGAAATACTCGTTGGTAGTGCACACAAAAGATGGAGCTGAGAATGCAAATCATAGACAGAGCATCACATCAGTGGATATCAGCTGAATAGCTAGTGAAAAAATAATAATTAGGACTGTGATGTCCAATTTTCACCCTCACCACACCGTAAAGTTATTAAAATAAGTCCAGGAAGTGATTGCTTAGGATATTTCAGAAAATGGCATCAAGTAGAGTAATGGCTCAACTAGAACCGAAGCTAACTAATATACCATAAACATAGAAAACGACTCTATATATATTTCTCATCAATGGCTAATGTATGGAAACTATGGAGAAGCAACAGAATCCAATTAATGAAACATCTTTCAAGGCTGCAACATTTACAACATTTTTTCAAATGAAATTTAATTTTCAACGTTTCCAAAAGTTTTCTGAGAATTAGCACGAGTCTCTGAAGCTTCGAAAAACGGAGTTTTCTTGTTATCCTTTCTTAGCTCGTAGCTCCAACGCTACCTCCAAATTCGACCCTTACCACTTGGATTTCGGAAACTGTAAGAGATACGAAGTGGCTTAAATTGGAGCAAAGTTTCGTATTTAGGAGAGAGAGGTGGAATAAAACCGAATTCTCTCAAAATCGTTTTAATTTTTTCCTGGCTTTATTTGTATTGAGATTTCAAAATAACTTACACTTCAACATTGCCACTTTTTCTCCTCTACAAGATGGCATAATTAGAATTACAATACGATGTTTCGTCTCTTGTCCTTCAGCATCAACTTTATTTTTTCTCGTGGACGCCATATTGGATTTTTGCATAGATGAATAGGGCTTTCAATTCTGATTCTAAATATATACGATAATAAAAATTAAAGATAGCAAAATTTCCTAGGTAGGCCTTGAAATTATCAGATTGTTATTTGTTTCGCATACCAGATTTATCCCAAAATCACTTTGATTTTTTCCCTACTTTATGAGATGAGATTTCAACATAAGTTGCATGTTGTCAGTGATATTCTCCTCTACAAAATAGTGTAGTCAAATTTTCGACATTTTTTTTCGACTTCCATCACCAACTTTGTTTTCCCATATGGACGACATATTGGAATTTTGTACATTTAAATGGACCTTTCAGACCTAAATTCAGAGAACTATTTTCTTAGATGGCCATGAGTTTTGTTGTTGGATGAACATTATAAGGAAATGAAAATGTGTGGTAAAACCTGAATTCAACATGAAAATTTTTTTGGTGGTAGTAACAATAATAATCATAAATACTCAGAGATAAATCATAGCAGATGTTCAAAATGTCCGTTATTGGGTAAACAACACCTTACTCTGTACATTGTTTACTGCTCGATTTATTTCTCTTCTTCTCTCTTCTGAACTCGGTTGCTATATTCAATTTGAGGTCTGCAGGGGTATTATGTAAAAAACCTAAAAGAACGTGAAAGACGACTAAGCGTCATCTTGCAGTTTAGGTAGTTTTTAGTATGTTCATTCCACGTTTGCTCGCTGTGATTGCTAAGAGCTTCATATAAAGCGTCTAACAATGGAGGATTGACCCAACTACACGGCACGCTTAAGCAAGCATTGTTGGTTGCAGTAAGTTGTGTTTATCTCTGAGAAGATGTGAAAGAAGGAAAGTTGGTTGGGTAGCAAAATCACATCTGGATGATTATGTGTATTGGTCTGCATATCTATAAAATCGGTGATATTGGCTATGTGAGAAAATTATCACAGAATATGCTGCAAATCTACTAGCCGTGCCCAATGGGTTATTCATATGTTAGATGGAATTGTCATCAAAACAGATTATAAGCACACAAATCCTCACTATGCGCCTCTTTGCACTCTCGCTTCCTTCAAGCTATAGCATCTATAGCTTATACCTCCAATAATGCCGTCTCTGAAGCAGATGTTACATCGCATTAGAGCCAAAGATTGATAACT